GTCCAGTTGAAGTTAGCATCCATTAAACATTCTGAACTTGTCCTTTTGCTCATAGATTGTGCATAATTAATAATTAAACAGTTTCAATTGTAATGGGTTGACCTTCTTGAACTGTTCATTATTCACTAGGCAAAGGCATCACTCAAACATTTTCCTCCTTGTCTCTTGCTGTTCTCTGGCATGCGAAGTGCTTGTGTTTTACTTGTTTAGAGAAAGAGGCTGACCAGGTAGTTACCAAAACCTCTGAGACATGGAGACTGTCCTCCTGCATGACTAGAATTGCTTACTGAAATGCTTTATGGCAGCTATTTTTATGTAATAATTGCCTGTTCCAGCTTGTGTGCAGGACGCTATAAAGTTGATTTGGGACTAGAGTTTCAGGTTAAGCTTTTGGTTAAGGTTGTGTTCACGGTTTCATTCCATACCTCTGTGCTTAGAAGTTCAGTAGAAATACATTCCAAAAAGCCCTTATAGTGAAGTATGGTATCCAGGGTCTTACCGAGAGTGACTTATTAACAATTGAGCCAGTTTCAGCCAGTACAGAGAGCTACTAGTGTAACTGCTTCTTCAATCCAGATTAATGCTTTGGAAATGCATTCTTCCATCTTACTTGTTCTCACCGAGAACTTTTTTTCTGGTACTTGAACTTAGGGCTTGAGTGTTGCCCTTAGCTTTTTTTTTTCCCTCAAGGCTAGTACTTTACCACTTTTTGAGCCACGCCTCCACTTTTGGCTTTTTTGCTATGTGCCGGGCACTGGTGGCTCACACCTGTAATCCCAGCTACTCAGGAGGCTGAGACCTAAGAATTGTGGTTGAAAGCCAGCCAGTTAGAAACGTCCATGAGACTCTTATCTCCAAGTAACCACCAGAAAAACCGAAAGTGACACTGTGCCCAAGTGGTAGAGCGCTAGCTTTGAGCTGAAGAGCTCAGGGACAGTGCCAAGGCCCAGAGTTCAAGTCCCATGACCAACAACAACAAAAAAAAGAGTCTCAGATGTATCTGTCCAGTCTGGCTTTGAATCAGCCTTCTGAGTAGCTAGGAGTATAGACATGGGCCACCAGCAACCTGCTCAGATGTGTGTATGGTTCATGGGTATGCATGTGTGTACATACAAGCCAGTTCTGGGGCTTGAAGACGTACTTCTAGCTTTTAGGTTAATTGGAGTAAATATCTCAGAGATTTTCCTGCCCCAGCTCACTTCAAATCTCCATCCTCAAGTTGCTAGGATTCCAGGTATGAGCTGCTGGCACTAGCTTTTACGTATGTTCTTTTGCCATTGATTGGTTAGTCTTCTGTATCTCAGAAGATTCTTCCTTGAACATGCAAGAGACAAGGAATTTTGAATAGAAAGAGATAGCTGGCATATGCACTTGAGACTCAGCTTTCCTTCTGTTTTGTTGTTGTTGTTGTTGCTGCTGCTGCTGCTGTTATTGGTCCTAGGGTTTGAACTCAGGGCCTGAGCACTGTTCCTGAGCTTCTTTTTGCTCAAGGTTACTACTATACCATTGAGCCACAGCTCCACTTCCAGCTTTTTTTTTTTTTTTTTTTTTTTTGGTAATTTATTGGAGACGGGTCTCACAGACTTTACTGCCCAGGATGGCTTCAAACTGTGATTCTCAGATCTCAGCCTCTTGAGTATCTAGGATTACAGTGTGAGCCACCAGTTTCCGGCTTCCTCCTGCATTTGGAGCAGTGATTCTTTGAGTTCTACAAAGTCAACTTGAACTGATATTTTCAGAAATGAAATAGATTATTCATGGATACCAACCAGTATTCCTTAACTTTTATAACATAAGAACCTTAACAGACTTATCTAGTCTTAAATAAAATTTAATTACTCTTGCAAAATGTCACATTTCCTCATTTTACTTCTCATTCATGCTAAAATGACATCTTCATCACATTGCCTGGTTTATTTATAATTAATTAATTTACTTTTGGTGTCATGCTTTAAAATGAAACCCACATTAGCATTATGTTTTATACAAGCTCTTTGTAGAAAGCCAGTCCAGAATTTTAACTATCTTGGTAAATATTCAGCCACATTAAAACAGCAGGCTGTGTGTGTGTGTGTGTGTGTGTGTGTGTGTGTGTGTGTGTGTGTGTGTGTGTGTGTGTGTGTGTGTGTGTGTGTTCACTGGGGCTTGAACTTCTCATAGCTCCACTTCCGACTTTTTGTTGGTTAATTGCAGTTAATATTCTCATGTGCTTTCCTGTACAGGCTGGTTTTAAACTGTGATCCTCAGATTTCAGCCTCCTGAGTAGCAAGGATTATATTCATGGGCAACTGGTGCCAGGCTAAGGTCCCAAGTTCAAGCCCATTATGGCAACAACAAAAAAGCGGGGGAAGGAAGGGAGTCAAGGAAGGCAAAGAGAGGAAAATAAGGGAAGGGGGGAGAAGAGAAGGGGGAAGGAGAAAGAAAAGAAAATCTATTTTTTAAAAATGGCCTAGGAAGCCGGGTGCCGATAGCTCACGCCTGTAATTTTAGCTACTCAGGAGGCTGAGATCTGAGGATCATGATTCAAAGCCAGCCCGGGCGGCAAAATCTGTGAGACTCTTATCTCCAATAAACCACCAGAAAACTGGAAGTGGCGCTGCAGCTCAAGTGGTAGAGCGCTAGCTTTGAGCTGAAGAGCTCAGGGGCAGTGCCTTGGCCCAGAGTTCAAGCCCCACGACCAACCAAAAGAAAACAAAGGCCTAAGACTAGGAATGTGGCTCAGTGGTAGAGTGCTTGCCTATCATGCATGAGGCTCTGGGTTTGATTCCTTAGTAAATAAAAAATTTAAAAAATCAATTTTTTTTTAATGGCCTAGAGTAGCTTCCTAACTGATAATAGTCCATGATGTTTTGCACATCAAATTCTGTAATTGGAAAAGTTTCTGAATTCTTAAAGCCTTCCCTTGTAAATGGTGATGGGTTTGCTCCCTGTGTCAGGTGGTTGTCATTCAGATTTTGAACTATCTTTTTTACTGTTTCTACGGACAGCTAAATGTCATTTCTTGAACTGAGCCTTGTAGACTCTCACAGTTTTGGTGATCCATACAGCTTTCTTCAAGAAGGCCAGGTCTGAAATAGATATCAAGTTTTATTTTTGCTCTTCAAATCAATGACACTTCTGTGACCATTTCCCACTACCATTATTGAGGAGCCATCATGTTATTGTGTGCCTTGTTTCTTTTGAGTATACTGTTCTAATACCCTGTTTTTCATATCCTTTCTATGGTAATACCTGCATATAATCCTTTGAACTTGGAAAGATTTTACTTTACCTCCATTTTGCTTTGTTTTTCTCTCCTCCTGGAAATCTTTACTTTCTTTATTGATGAGAATTTAAGTGTAGAATTGTTCAGCATCCCCTCTAGATGAATAGAGTAGATTCAAAGGGAACAGTTATGGGAAAGTCATTATTTTTTATATTCCTTTCCCCCCCCAATCTCTTCAGAATTTTGTTCTTCCTTTTTTTAAAAATAATTTTTGGCTGCTTTGACCTCCACCTCCTGCCCAGTTCCTTTTTATTTCGTTGTATTTTCCAGCCATTTCCAATTGTTTGAATCAGAAACAAAGCCTTAATAAGACTTCTAGTTAATTTTCTGTCTTGTAATTACCGATCTCATTTTTCTGATAATTGGCCACAGCAATTATATGTATATTTACTAATCACATAGGAGGCTGTGCAATTGTATCTATCTGCCACCATTGATAATGACACACATATTGCAGAGGTGCTTTTATCATCTTCTTTTTTCCACTACATCAAAGCTATTTCCTCTCGTTCTCAATAATGAATACATGCATGCATTTGACACAGTTGTGTGCTAGAGAAATTGTTTGGCTCCTACCAAATGCTGCATGCTCTGAGTTTCTAGCCTGCAGCGCTGGAAGGTTGTATGTAATGATATATTGCTCATCCAAATGGCCAAAGCACTCCAAAGCACAGTGAGATTAAAATAAGTCATTCCTTTGTTAATTTAAATAGGTGCATGTATCATACTTTGCAGGGCACTTTGTGTAGGGATGTCAGGGAGGAAAAAAAGCCGCCGAAAGGTATTTTTAATAGCAAATGAGAATAGATGAGAATGGAGTCATTTGCAGCTGCCTACTTTATGTGGCTCTCTTGTTCCAACTGTAGGTCTAATGAGATGACTGTTAAAGTACTCTGCAGTGTAATTTCATTACATCCTGAGCTGTTACACTATAAACACAGTGGCACTCTCTGTCATTCTTGGAAAAACTCCTAAATTCTTAAAGCTTTCCTTTGCGAATGGTAATGGGGTTTGCTCCCTGTGTTGTTTGTTGCTATGTAGTTTGTGTTCTGATGAGTGACTCCCAGATCCTCCCCAGTTTTGTTTGATGTAGAGATAGAAATTTTTCACTGTATTTTTAATTCAGTGGCTTTATGATACGATGACTTGGCCTAAACTGACAACTAGGCTAAAATTCCTTTTCAGGAAAAAAAAAAACTTCTCTCATAAAGGCCTGCCTATTGAAATTTTTATAAAGGAAAAAAAAAATGACTTGTCCCTAAAGAGCCAGCAATCAAAAGCAGTTGAATATATAAAGAAATGTAAATAAATAGGAAAGTGTAAATAAATAGCAAATCCAGTAAAAGAAACAAAGGTCAACAAAGAATAATTTCACAGCTCTTTGTTAATTACAAGACCATTTGTGTGTTACTTAAATAATCATTAATTTCTCATTTACACTTTCCCTACCTTCCTTCCTACCCCGTGGCTATCATTGTCCTTTCTCCACCTCCCCTCCCTCTTTGCTCCCATGTTTCTCACCATTGTAAAATGTGTGGCTTGAAATTTGGCATCTTTACCGAAATGTGTGGAAGAGGGAAGAGCCAGTCTTTTTAATTGGCAGGCCTTTATGTCACCATTATGTTCAACTTTATACTGCTTCTCCGAGGGGGTAGGGTAGCAGTGGTGGGGAGCATTGTGAACTAGAAAGAGGCATTGTTGTGACTTTTGGTGACTTGTTTTTCCTCCATCCCAGGATTCGCCTGTCCTTCCGGTTGGAGAGTTCTCTGAGCCATTTGTACATTTCATCACTCAGTGGTGAGCTAGTGCGCAAAGCACGCCCTGCCCTCAATGTAAATGATACATGCCATTAACTCCGGGAGACCTTATGGCTCTCCTGCTTCCTTTTGGAGAAAGAGGCACTGGGGGAGGGGGAGCAACTCGGCAGATAGGGCAGCAAAGCCAAAGAAACTGTTTAAATTATATAAACATTATTTACACAAAGGTTCATAAGCATACTTGGGAGGCTCCTTTGCTTTTTAATAAACCACTGATCAGTTTCCTTCTTTGAGCAGACACTGTTCCCATTTTCTTAATCTTTTTTTTTTTTTGCTCAGAAATATGCAATTTTATAGCTACTCTTGAACAGACATATGAAGCTTATTTTTATTAATGGAACCTCAAGTTACCCATAAAACTGCCTGCCACTTAGTGAAAGCAGCACGGTTTATTAACTCATTGGAGTCTTCAGTAACTTTTATCTTTGGTTATATTTTAAACACGACATACTGGGGTCATCCTTACACCGAATTTTGATATTGGGAAAATCTGGTAGAGATGTAGTTCTATTAGTTGCATTTCAACCCCTAAGAACCTGACAGGTACCCCAAGATTTAAGGCAAAGGTGCCTTCAAAGCCTTGAGATAACCCCTTATCATTTTACACCTGAGGAAACAGGCGTTTTTCTGCCTAGAGTTCTTTTCCAGCCTTTTTTCTCTTTCCTCCCAGCAGCATGCCTCTTGCCTTTATTAGCCCTTGTGCCATCATCCCCTCTCCAGGTCCTGGGAGACTCATGTGGCCTTAGGAGGCCCACTGCTCCCCTGCCCTCAACCTCACCCCTACACGGGGATTTTACCCAAGAGACTGGAGGAAATTGGCAGCTCAGAAATGACCAGACCTCAAGCAGGAGAACAAGACTCATCAGCCATTGTGGGACTCCTCCTACCCAAACGTCTACATTTCTGCACCCTGTCAGTCAGTCAACTTTCCGGTACTGGAGGATGGCAGACCCTTCCCGAAGAAGCCTGGGGTGCAGGGAGGTGGCATAGTGGGGGGTCCTTGCTAAGCAGGGCTGGCTGTGTGCTGCCCCTCCCCCGCAATCCAACCAATGTGAAACCAAGAAATATTCCTTAATATAAACGTCAAGCTTTATCACCTTTTTGACTAAGTGTAATATGTTACCTCTTAATAAAAATGTCGTGTACAGTTTATATTCCACAGAGGGGAATAAATGTGGAGGAGAAATTTTCCCCTAGTTTAAATATTTTTTTTAACATTGTATCTTGTTTATTCAAATACATGCTATTCTGTAGCTTTTGGAAACTATATTTGCTCTGAAAAAAAAAAAAATACCTATTGATTGAACCCTGGACTTCTACGCTGTTTTAAAGCTTATTGAGTGTCATTATACAGAAACATATTAGTCCCTCTTTTTTTTGTTTAACTAGAATTCCTAAAAAAAAAAAAAAAAACTCAGAGGCATCCCCATGAAAGATAAAGATTAGAGAACAAACTATGATTCCTTTGCTGCCTGGAGCCCTAGTCTAGGCATCACCCACTCCAGACACAGGCACAGCCATAGGAGACACTGGATATGTGACATCCATCATGGAATCTCTCTGTGTGGTCTGAGATGGGCCCTGGGGGTGGGGCTGCTCCAGGCAGCCAGGGAGAGACATAGTTAAGGCTTTATCGCCCTACTATCCAAAAAATCAATCAGCTGCTATGTGTAAGTTTTATGGAGAGGAAGGGAAGGATAACCTGTGTTGAAATTTTCAAGGCTGTCAAGCCAAAACAAAAATGAAACAAATCTCTTGTTTTCCCAAGAGATAGAGCTACTTTGGAATGTCAAATTGGGATGGTTATCAACTCCACTAGGGAGACAGCTTGAATTACTTGCTAATGGAAACAGTATTTGAGAGGTGCATATGGTTATTTATAGGGAAGGCAAATGTCCTCAGTGTCATTAATGGTTCATAACTACAATTCTTGTTTGCCAAATGATCATTAAATTGCTCTATTTAAAAACAAAAGTACTGTCAGCAAACTCAGAGATGACGTGAAAGATATTCATTTGCTCATTAGAGAGTCCCTTATACAAAAGGCCTCTGTGATCTTTTCCAAGTGATCAAAGCAGCAGTCTATTTGTGACTTTATCCCATAGATGTTCTGGTTTAGAAAGAACACTGCCATCAAGTAGGCAGCTACCCACAATCACCTCTGGATAGCTAAGCATACACTCCAGCCATAAGTATACCTTACTGGATGGAAGACACGAAATATTTTACACAAGAAGTGCAATTCTTTAAAGCGGCTTCAGCAAACTTAGCTATCTCACAGCTATTGAATAAATTAAACTTTCATCATACTTGATAAATACAAGCCAAGATATTATATAAGAACTCATTTGTAATTTTGTAGCATTATCTAGATTCCTCACTCCTTTGTATACTGCTTGTTTTAGTGGAGGGATGACATTTTTCTTAATCTGACTTAACAATCAATTATACTGCCTATTACATTATTCCATTTACCAAAAAAAGAAGTAAATTGTTCTCTGAATTTAATTTTGAAACAAATAGGCAACTAAACCTGGGAAAGAATATAACTGCTTTTTCTACATTAATTTCAAAAATAGAATTAGAATAAATGTAAATTCATTATGTACATTGTGAAAGTAACTTTGAAAAAAAGAGACAGCTTTGTGATTCAGAAGGTCCCAGAAGGGCTGGGAAGGTGGCTCAGTGGTAGAGCGCTTGCCTTGCATGCCTGAGGCCCTGGGTTCCATTCCTCAGCACCACATAAGCAAAAAGAAAAAAGCTGGAAGTGGCGCTGTGGCTCAAGTGGTAGAGCACTAGCCTTGAGCTGAAGAGCTGAGGGACAGCGCCCAGGCCCAGAGCTCAGGCCCCAAGACTGGAACAAAAAAAAAAGAAGATCCCAGAAATATGAATTTTAAAAAGCCAATATAAAGGAAAGATAACATTTATACTTTGGCCAAAAAAATCAAACTGATGGAGTTTTGAAAACACCCAGATTTGAGGGGAAATAGTGGTAGAAATTAAAACCAAAAACTTGCAAATAACAGAGATAAATTTTCTTTTTCCACCACAGCATGAGAAAACAGCCCAAAGAAAGGCCAGCACCTGAGGAACTGATGGTGAGTAAGTTTGTTTAGTTACCTTTAGGATCTCCATTTATATTTTTAACATTTTGTTAAAAAGACCAGTATGATTTGTATGTGCATTAGGACATCAGACATAGGTGTTTTTATTATGTAAACTTTGGTATATTTATAGATTGTATGATCCAATGACTGGTACAAGTAAAATCATTTTTAAACTTTTTTTACCCTAAACATTATTATTACTATCTTTAAGTAGTTATACAGATCAGATACAGTAGTTACACATACCAGTTTATGAGAAAAATGCATCTTGATGGGGTACTGGGGCTTGAACTCAGGACCTCACACTCTCACTTGGCTTTTTTAACTAGGCTGACATTCTACCACTTAAGCCACAGCTCAACTTCCCAGTATGAACTCTTCAAAATCCACAGGTTCTGAAAAGGCAGCATTATTTACTTCATTCAGGTTAATGGTTTTGAAAGTAAAACTCAGATTATAATGTTTCTTTTTGAAAACCCCACCAGCATACTGAAAATTAATGCAAAACTCTTCATTTGCATTGCTCAAAGTCACAAAATCAATGTAGGCCACTCTTCACCTGCATTTTGCACCACTGCTTTCAGAAGACAGAGGTCTTGTAACAGAGAATATGTTAAGTTTTTGGTTCAGTTCTGTTGGAAACTTTAAATGTGGCATGGAGTCCTGTCTGACTCATGCAGAATGAAATTAGACTGGCTGCAAAAGATCAAGTTAATGTGAATCTTTGCTCTTGCTTCAGAAAGAGACCCTGCAAGGCAGCTGGTGCTGTGTTCTCAGCTCCAAAGCAGCTTTCTTTGATTGCAAATGACAGTTTTGTTTCATTGTTGTTGTTTTTAACTCAATCAGGGAGAGAAACAGAGATGCTCCAGAACAAATCACAAATGGTCATTTATTTAGTACAGATTGTAGATTTGACAATGCATGAACTATTAGAATGAGTTAAGATGGAGCATTAGTGAATAATAATTAAATAATTAGTAAATTTTTTAACTTACAGTTTTGTTAATTAAATAATAGTACATAAATAATTAAGGTCTAGGCTTTCCAATTTTTTGCATGTCACTCCTCTTTAAATTATTGTAGTCAGAGCAAATCCTGGCTGGCTTTCTTTAAATAAACAAGTGCTTTACATATATTGGTTCAGAGGTTTCCATTCTTGATATGTTATCCCAGTAAACACTCTTAAGCACCCAACCTTGTGCACAATACAAATTTCCCTTTTGTGTCACAAGTTCCTTTCAGATGGGCATTTCTTTTGCCTTCATGCTATACCTTTAGAGCAAAATCTTAGTTTTCTAAGTAATTTCAAGTTAAAGTTCACCCTTGAAACCTCTCCAGTTTATAACTACATAGATTTCACATCTAGAATAAATGTGTGGGCTTAGTAGCACGGGAGTCATTTGTTTGCTGTTTGGTTTCTTTAATAGCTAAGAAATTCTTGCAGTTAGTCACATTTGAGAAAACTTAGAACAGGTTCTAGAAATGGAGCCCTGTTTACCTTTTGCATTATTGTGCTATGGCTGGATAGCTCAGCTATTTAAAACAAAGGAATAGAGTTTCATAAAACAGATATCTGTTTGGAAATTCATGTTTCAGTGCTGCAATGAATTGGTCACTTATAAATAAAACATCTTCAAATCATGCATATACCATAAATGTTTGTGGAATGTGATGGGAGGGAGGAAAAGGGGTGGTAAGGAACATCTCTCCAGAGTGGCAAATCATAAAGACTAAAGATATGAAGACTAAAGAGTGAGTACTTTCAATGCCTTGAAAGCAAGTGTGTGCGAGTGTACATGACTATCATGTATATGTGAGAGAGGAGGAGGGAGAGGAACCTGTGTTTATACCCTGGTGTGTGCTGTCCCACACTCGTAATTAATAAATATCAATAAATGAATAAAACACAATAAAAATTTAGTCACAGGAAGCACCACCATATATTTTTTTATTGATAAGTTTTTTTATTGTGAAAATACCTTACAGAGTGGTTACGATTACATGAGCAAGGTAATACATTTCTTATCAAGCATTGTTGCCTCCTCCCTTGTTTCCTCTTCTCTTCCCTCCCCTCTGCCCCCCCCCCAAAGTTGTAAAGTTCATTTTCCACATAGCATCTTGTACATTTCCCACCGTATACTTAATTTGTTATTATCTCTAGTACTACTCACTGTTTGCTTTTGAATGAATTTATTCCCAGAAGTATATCAAAGCTGAAGCAAGGCACCCTTATTTGCTGAGGGCTACATGAGGAGACAGGAAACAATGGGTGTGGGGAGCTGCTATAGTCAAGACCTGCTGTTGGCCAAAAGATTGGACCCAATAGGACATGGGAAAGAAAGTGGATTCTCTCTTGCCTTGAACCTGAGTTATATCCTAAGGACCTCGTCTTAAGGAACCTGTTTTGTTTTTGTTTTTTTGTTTTTTTAATTCCTCCCAGCATATTAATGGCTTTAATTTTTCCTTTTCCCTCTCTGCCTGCAACCTATTTGATGGTGCTCCCATCTGGAAGCTGAGAGCCTCTGGAATGCATGAACTGTAGAGCCCATTTGTCACTGTGGGTGGGGGCTTGTGCCTTTCGCAAAAGGAGCAGTTTATCTCCCAAGCGCCGCATCTCCAGCCAGCAGGGTACCAACGTGGGCAGCACAGCTTGGGCTATATCAGCTGTGAGGACTTCAGAATTGTCAAGGTTTCCCTGTGGGTTTGCATTTTCCAAACTGAAGAAAGAAAATGAGACTGAATCTGGTAGAAACACTGAGAGTTATAGATTCACCATTTGGAAACTCTGAAATGAACTTCTGGTATGGCCTTGAGTGATGAACACAACATGCCCCGGCCAAATCAGAATTCAGGATGGGCAGGTCATCCTGACCCCTGGGGTCTGGACCATGCACATAGCAGACATTCAGATTGTCTTGTCTTTGGTGGGAGCCACTGTATGCATCCAGATACCCAACATCAAGCCTTAGAGTCATTGTTCCTGTGGTTTTGAAGATGAAATGTAAAACTCAAGGTTAAACTTGACATAATCCCCAGTGCTAGAATTTGATACTTTATGCATTCCCTCTACTTAGTGTGTTTGTTCTTTATTTGCTATTAGCTGTTATGTCTAAGTGGAAATGTTATAAATTTGGACCAAGACATTCCCTTACCAGTCACACTTTTGAGGAGGCTAAGGTCCTTATGACTTAGTGGTTTTCTGGTATGCAACCATTAAGCTACATGAAGAACTCATTGTCAACATCTTCATCATTGTGTTGTTTCTTTTTGTGCTTGTACAGGAACTGGAACTCAGGGTCTCAACCTCACTTGACTTTTCTGCTCTAACCTAGTGCTCTATCACTTGAGCCACATCTCCACTTCCAGCTTTTTGTGGCTAATTGGAGATAAGAGTCTCAAGGACTTTTCTGTCTAAGCTAGCTTTGAATCTTGATCCTTAGATTTCACTCACCTAAATAGCTAGGATTACAGGCATGTTTCAATCCTCTTAAGAGATCTTAGGATCAGGGAAATGATTGAATTTATAGAACACTGTGTGTGAAGTCCTATGTAGACCCAGCAGAAGATGCGAAGAATAAGCTACATAGGAATAGTCTTACAGGGAATATGTCATAACACACAAACAGCTAAAATGAAACAATTGTTATAAAAGAGTACAAGCCAGGCTTATGTCTGTAATCAATCCTAGCTACTTAGGAAGCTGAAATCTAAGAATCCATTATTCAAAACTGCACTGGGCAGGAAAATCCAGAAGACTCTTATCTCTAATTAACTATCAAAAAGCCACAAGTGGAGCTGCTAGTTTTGAGTGAAAATGCTCAGGGATAGCGCCCAGTCCTTGACAATCCCCTCCCTGCATCCCACTCAGTAAAAAGGAGGAGCAGAGTTCTATGGGAATCCATTTGGAAGTTGGGGGGAAGTCATGTACAGGAGGAAGCAATTAAAAATGCCCTTAAAAGACAAATTGCATTTTTTTTTTTTTTGGGTCCGGTTGTGGGGCCTGAACTCTGGGCCTGGGCACTGTCCCTCAGCTCTTCAGCTCAAGGCTAGCGCTCTACCACTTGAGCCACAGCGCTACTTCCGGCTTTTTGCTTATGTGGTGCTGAGGAATCAAACCCAGGGCCTCGAGCATGCAAGGCAAGAGCTCTACCACTGAGCCACCTTCCCAGCCCGACAAATTGGATTTTAATAGAAACTTTTCTAGGGACCATTTTATGTATAGGAAGCAGGATGGACAAAGTATGAGTAGACGCTAGACCTTTTCAGAGTGACCTCTAGTGCCTGCTGGAGCAGAGGCCCACTGATCCAGTGGGATTTCAAACCCACAAAGGTGAAGTTCAAATAGGTAATATATTTGCTATCAGCTGGACAATATTAACAGAGATTGAATGTAGAAGGAACTCTGGTGTCCAGGTCTAAAAACTTTTGACTACATAAAGCAGCACAGTATAGCTACATACACTCAATCTTTGACCTTGAAAACAATTTCCCATTCACATATTGAGAAGTCCAACACTTGATGTGGCCTTTCTTGAACTCTTCAAAAATGAGTTTGTTTAATGCTAAAGGATCATGTTTAAACTCCACAGCAGGCAGGTGTGACACCATGAGGTGCAAAGTGCAAAGTATACACACACACACACACACACACACACACACACACAGAGACAAATACATTCCTCCTGCTCCTGTGACAATGATTTCACTATTGAACAACTTGGTCTGGTACCGACAAATTTCAGACCAAAATTTTAGACAGTAGAAACTCTGAAGCAATGCAGATAAAAATACTCATCTGGCTTAACCTAGCCACAGAGATGTATCAGCTTATGTGAGAGAAGACATCTTCTCCAGCCAAAAAGACTGGTGTGGCTGCAGCAAGAAGAAAAGAGAATAAAGGTGGTAGAGAAATTTCCCTATAATGTCAGTGATCAGAATAATAAAAAGTAGGTTTGGTTTGGTTTTTTGTTTTGTTTTGTCGGTTGTGGGGC